CATTTTGATTTTTAAACTGTAATACACAAACCAGGAAAGTAATTTAAATTCCATTGTCTTTATGAAGTTAATAACTAATAAGCAAGCAATAATCAAAGTTTGGAAAACATAAAAAAATACAACGAATWTTATATTAATAATCACAACAAACACTAATGAGACTAAATTGTATAGGTACTTACAATTTAGATAATTTTATTAATGCAAATATAAACTGTATAAGTCGAAAACTGGCCATGAAAAAAGTCTCTGTCCCTGTGCCCATCCCTAAATCATCCTTTATATCTTAAAACAATACAACAATCGTAGGAATCTATGATAAATATTACGATTTACGATGACAATATCTAAAACATATTGGAATTTCTGTTCTAAGGAAATAAATGTTATCGATGATTAAACATGATAACGACAATAAMAATCGAAGGACTCGGTGGTACGTCATTTGTGTGAAATGTCTTTTAATGGCCTTATATTTTTAAATTGTTTACAAATCTTACAACAATATTAGACTTGTGAAAAATGATCGAAAGCTACATATGTCATTTCATGCAATTTTCAATCAATGCGTTTTTCGTCATTGTTATGAAAATATTGGTGGAAAGTATATTCATGAGTTCATTGGGGTAACCTTGGGGTCATTTTGTTTTTTTTTTTTTGCAGTCGGAAAATTTATAATTGTTTAGCAACTGAAAATATAATCGCTGTAAGACATCCATGTAAATAAATGAATCATCGATATAGAGCACCACAATAAAAATAAATATTTAGTGTCATTCTTATAAATTCCGCCTTYCTCATCCGTCAGTATATTAGAGATCAATATTAATATTCAACGTCTAAGAAAGGTCTGATCGCTATGATTTTTAAGTACTCTTGAATTGATGACATTAACCCTGAAACGGTGTGTAGATATCTATATGATATACTTTACGACATACCTTGGTTATGATCAACGGCGTGTTGAGATCCGCTCCGCCGGCCAATCGGATACCCCATGGTTGAGACTTTCCGTCTCTCTTGAGCGTCACGGACCACGTGCTCGGTTTCTTCGAACCCATGTCGATTGCACCGGTCACCGCGTCCTATAGTTGATCGTAGCTAATCACTAGTGCAACTGCTGTAGGGACATMATAAAGTAAATAAAAATAAACCGAACGTTATTAAATTATTAATTATTATAAAAACGAATAATAGGATCGTGCGCGATATTTATGTGACGTATTATAGGTACATTGTATTTATTGAACATAATAATAATTCATAATAATATTGTAATATATTATGGAGTGCTGCTGCGGATGGTGGAGCGTATAATATTGGTGACGTTTTGCGAATATTATACACACGTGTATGTGTGTGTATGTGTATCTGTTTGGTTGCAGCTGTGCAGTGTGTACACCTCCTCCATAACATATAGTAATATAATATATTTGACGCGTAGGTACATAGTTGTAAGTACACTGCAGGTACCACCAACGAACGTGTTAGGTATAATATTATAATATGATTTGTACGTCATTGTTTTACGAGCCACGCAGACCACAATGTATATGGCGATGATGATAATATTATATATTTATTACATAGATGCCGAAAAATATTAAACGCGAAACGCGAACGTATATGTTACATGGTAAACATTGTTAGCTAAGTATATAAACAACACTGTGACGTTTATACAGTGTGATTCTATAAAACCGAAAACTGCGATGCCGAAAACCTTGGACTTTACCCGACATTTTCCCGTTGAAGGATTTTGAGAATATAATACGCTTGCAATCTCGAAATTCCATATTATGTTTTTTTTTTTTATCCTATATGTTTGGTTTTTTCCACGCCTTTGTAGTGATATTCCAGATATTTTTACTAGTTGACGAAGACCTAGCATAAATTTTATGAAGCGATTTACTTTGTCTAAAGTATGAAGTTATAAAGTTGTTCGTTTAAAGGTCTGTAAACAGTTACGACTTGTGCACACTGCACAGCGATGGCAGTAATAGACAATAAGCGATGTCGTACAAACATCGATTTCGAACTCAAAACGAAAAACAGTTGTTCTGATTTATGTAATTGTGACTCGACTAAAAACGGCGAAACATTTTCAAAATATTTGGTCTCAATCGCTGCACATCACAAGTTCTTATCAAARAAATCACGACGTAATGGCGTGGTGTCACGAAAAACTGCGTTTATAATAAAATCATCGAAATAGTGAAAAACCACAGACTATACAATACGATCATTGGCCGTCGAAATTTAACGATCTACTTTTTTGGTTTTCTGCCGCCGGCAGATACCTATGTATTCATAATATAATAATMAGAGCTAGTAATTTAACGGTGGATATTTTCATATTGATCTCACTTTTAATAGTCACTAGTCTTCACTATTTTGCGATACAAACTATACATATTTTTACATCATACACACTTCAACTTTCAATAGACATCACGACCTAAGATTAAAACATGGCGTTCCGGTATGACACACTTTGTATAAAATAATATGAGGTACGTTGGTAGAGAACAAAATGTCTGAGGGGATTTGTACTCGTAAATCATTTTATTAGAATTAAAATAAATACCTAACTTAAAATGTTTACTATTAGTTTACCAGTAATCAGTTATTGAAATGTTTATACTAAGAATTATATATAGGTACCTATATAGTACATATAAATGATTTTACAAACATATAAAATGTATGTAGTATTAGATTTAGTATAATATTTACTGGTTTTAAAAATTATAAATATTAATGGATTMATTATTAATTACTAAAATATTCAAATCACTATTTATATACCTAGCGTTCATAACAACCATATCATTAAAACYAAGCATCATCGAACTATTATCCAGGATAATTTATCCTAAGTACACAAAGTTAAATTACTCAAAGACTGCTTATTCGAATTCTGATTCCGATGMGTCAAATTTAAAAACTAAACTCTAAATTCAAAGTGAGGGTTTTCATTTGAAAAACAGAAGTTTGTATCTCAAAAGAATAGGAACTCCTTCAGTGGTACAAAAAATTTCAAGAATTCAAAAACATGGTCTTCATCATCGTGTTATAGTAGCAGGTGTATAGTATTTGAAAATGGCGTAAAAAATTTGAATAACTGTATTATTGAAGAAAAAGAGGATGAGTGTGCGCTTGGCTAATCACCTTGTATTTATACAATTTTACATCGCATTTTCCGCTTAATATATTTCATGTTTTTTAACACAATATAATTGGTCGCGTGCCCCAGAGTCAATAATAATATGTAATAATATATATATTATGTTATGATGTGCGGCCACGGTCGTACCTATATTATATCGCTGTCGCGCGTGCGTATAATATATATATAGATAAATAGTATATATATATACACGGCTGTAAGGCGCGTGGGTGGTCGTCGTGATCWGCAGCGGCAGCCGTGAGGAAGCTGCGCGGCGACGGTCCGGATATGGAGGACGAGCAACCGGAAATAACGGCCGCAATCGATCACGAAAACGATTGAACCGTAGGTGGTAGGTACGACTACGTGCACAGTTCGCGATTACGGTTTATGTATGTCTAAGCCGACACGATTACGATGATGCCGCCGCGTCTTCTTCGTCGTCGTACAATGGACCGGCACAATAAATTCACTGCGAATGATGGACGGGCTCGCAAACTACGCGACTATAGCGAACAACTGCGGCTCGGGCTCGGGACACGTGCCAAAATACATAATAATAATATATAATATATACGAGAGTCGAGTGCGGAAAAAATAACAAACCAAACGTTATAAAAGATATTTGAAATGCGTTGTATGCGCAATACCGTCGAGTTATAATTGCAAACGGTTTTCATTATTATTGCTATTATTATTATTATTATTACTGCTGTGTCCGGGTCTGCGTTTCGTAATCGATTTTATAGCTATTACTATTTTTTTATTTATTTATTTTTTATCCTCTGTCGGATCTCACTCGGAAGACGAGAATAACGAAAATGGCCGAGTGATGTGCGTATCACGTGAGATATGATATATATATATATGTATATAATATATTATATAGGTACCTTAATAATTATATTATGCGAAACGATCCGCCGTTAATAAGTTATGTTGTAGCCAACTGCTACAATAGTAAAATTATTTCCTAGTCAAATTGTGTATGCACAATAAACGCATTTAAAAGTTTAAAACTATAATAAATGTACAACATTTTGGTAATACCTATAGTACAGTAGTTCCTATATTAATTATATAGATATGAAAAAACAGGGTCCCAAATGTTTACAATTTTCTTGAGTAAGTATATCTATATATACCTATAAATGCACCCACTATTCTATTTCTATAATAGATCATTTTTTCGAAAATAATACCCAAAATCTACATACCTAGGTACCTGTTCGTAATCCTATCATCCAMCTATATATACCTATTTTAACCAATAACCATATTATAATGTTATGTATTCTTACCAATCGTACCTATACTTAAGAGGATGTCATCGCGCTTTTCTCTATTTGCGCCAAGCTTTAATATTAGGAATATTATCTATGTTCCTATGTTGACTATTTTAAAAATTAAAAATTTTTATACAATTTTACCTCTATTGTAAAATGTTAAAATTTAAAAATGATCATATCTCGATTTAGAATTTAAATATCGTRAAACACYAGCATAAGAATAGATTCAAATAACGTTATTAAGTAATTAAGTTTCATTATAGATCAATTTCCTCTAGATAATACTAAAACTTACTACATCGTGTTATTATTCATCGCGAAAATAATCTATTTGCACACTTGCGTGTGAATTAAAAAGAGTGAAAACAAATAGGTCACTAACAGTATCCTCTTAAAGCTTATATCAGTGCTGATTTACCAAATTTCCAAATTCGAAAGTTATATTTTATATTTTATTTGTCMCCTTAAAAGTTAWTAATAATACTTTTTCACTTATCTTCTTTTTGTTTTTATCCTTTAAACAACACAAAAAAGTTTATCGGAAAGTCAAATTAATTAGCATTTGAAGTTTAAATTGTTATGATATTAGATATTCTCCCTTCAATTAACATTATTTCTCAACACACGATTTTCCTATTTTGGTGTAATTCAAAAACAAATAACCGTAGAATAATTTCACCAAATACAGTAAAACCTCTCTATAACGGRCCCTCTATTAAATGGAGTCCTCTTTATAGCAGAAARCATCAATAGTCCCAATGCAAATAATATATGCAATTTCTCCTCTCTAATTCCGCGGAAAACTCTTTATAACGGTAAAATGTTTGGTCCCGTGCGATTCCGTTATAGAGAGGTCTCACTGTATTTATATTTAATCATTATGACATTATACACTATAAATTAAAATGTTTTTCAAGATATTTTGTCTCTTATGAGATATTTATAGACATTTGAATAATTTACATTTTTTATCTATAAATGTTAATTACCTTKTGTTTTTTAGTCAAAAAGCTTAAAAATTTATTAGAAGATTCCTGATAAATTTTTTCAATAGCCATTTTATATTTGCATTTAATGTTCATTATTTAACGAAATTCRTCAAAATCTTGAAAATTTTTAAATTGTTTTGTAGTTAAAAATGAATAGAATGTTCAATTTTTATAGTTAAGGATACAAATTTTAAACAAGATTTCTCATTAGTRGTTCATACTTTAAACTGTAACCAAAAATTAAATAATATTATGKAYGAAATTGGATATTTAAACGTAGAATTACGATTTTAGTTATTTTTTACAACTAATTTGAAAATATTCTAATATAAYCTATTAGCAGTACCTATAAGCTGAAATACCGTTTCATTCAGAATTGTTTTTTTTATACAATGATTTTATTTCATTGAATTTAAATGTAACACATCCATTATAGACTATAATAATAAAAATCCACTTGTCCACCTTTTTTATTTTATTTCGAAAAGTGATACAAAATCATTTATAAAAAAGCTTAAAATTGTTTTTAACTTAATAGTCTTATTATATTGAAGAACGGATTTATAGTTTATTCAACAGAACTATATAGAATCATTATTTCC